AGAACAAGATTTGTTCATGAAATATATCCTTTGGATTTTGATGATAACAAAGTATTGAAAGAACAATGGTAGTCATATTTATAGAAATAGTTTCTTCACCTTTTGTGATGATAATGCTGCTTGTTAGTTGTCAAAGAAACCAATTCAATATTCATTAATCAAGCATGACTCTAGTTATAAGAGAAAAGTTTGATTCTGAGTAGAATATCAAAGACTGGTAACTGACAGAAGATGTCTCACTCAAAGTCTAAATATATTAGACTTTGATAACAAATAGCTTTTGAAAATTATCAGTTTCTGAGATTTAGAAAAGGAATCTTTACTTCTGATAAAGCAGTTTAAGTAAAAAGTTATTTCAAAAACTTTTGTATTACTTAAATTTCATAAAGTTGAAAATCATCTAGTGGATTCAGGAAATCTGTTGGGTAAGAACCTTTGGGTAAAGATGTTTTTTTATATACTTTTATTATCTCTACCCCATGTCTTGTGAAACATCATTTAGTGTCTTTTTTACTGAAAAGATTATTATTCCTTTATAATCTTGTTCAGTTCTTTTCTTTTTATTTTTCTTTGGTTGTGTGTTGATCAAACCAAGCTTTAGATGAATTTTCTAGTCAATTCTTAATCAACTAGTTGTCATCAATGAAAATTTTGTAGATTTTGATGAGTTTCTTAAGCTACGTTTTAACTTCTGGAAGACTGTGTTTGAACAAGATTGAAATGGATAATTTGATATGCTATGTGGTTTCACTTATCCAAGTCTTGTCAAAGAGTTTTGGATTAATGCTTCCATTGTTGAACTGAATTCTGAGTGTGCTTTTCTTTCCAAGGTTTCTGGTATTTTTATAACAGTAACCTCTAAGATGATTGTTAATGTAATCAACTGTGAGGAAATTGGATTATTGCCCTATACCTCTTATTGTATATCAAGTATACCTTATTGTCTATTATGTTAAACAGGTTGTTTAGTAGTTTAGGAAGAAAGTCTCTTGCTATATGCTTGAGCATTAAAGTCTCTTGTTGTGAGCTTGAGCCAAGTATGTCTCTTGCTATGTGCTTGAGCATTGAAGTCTTGATCAAAGTGTTGATTAAGCAAAAAAATCTTGGACTAAAGGTCTGAGCAGGAAAGTCTTGTACTCGAGGGTGTGAGCAGGAAGTCTTGAATCTATGGGATTTAAGCAGGAAGTGTTGGATTCATGGAATCTAAGCAAGAAAGTCACAGGTTGAGGTTCTGAGTAGGAAGTCTTGAATTTGTGGGATTTAAGCAGGAAAGTCTTAGACTGTAAGTATGAGTTGGAAGTCTTACTTGAGGGTATAAGCAGGAAAGTCTTAGGATCTGAGGATCTAAGCAGGAAGTCTTGATCAGGTGTTGATTAAGCAGGCAAGTCTCAGTGTGTTCATTTATCATTTACTTTCTTCTGATTATTATTCAGTTGCATACATATTATCGAAATCCAAACAAATTATTTAGAATCTGAACTTTGTTCAGAAGAAACTCAAATACACAATTCAACCCCCTTCTTGTGTATTTTTCTCACCTTCATCAATGAGTGTAAAATCGTTGTTTGAAGCTTGAAGACTAATCAATCCATGTTTATTATGGAAAGGAGACTAACTATTTTGATCCATCGTTTGGAAGGAAGACTCACCACATCTCTTCATGCTTATTTTTTGGTAGGAAATTATCCACAAACTTAATTTTCCTTGTATAAGAGGGTTCAATAGTTCAACCTACTAAAAGCTCTTCAATTTTATTGGATACTCTCAAGATCAAATCTAGGGGACATGACTAAGTCGTTTTTGACTGAATTTGTATAACTCCTGGTGTCTTCTCTCCTCCGTCAATTTTCCACATTTTGTTTCATAACTTCATTTTCTGCTCCTTAATTTCAAAATGTTTCTAAAATGCTTTCAAACTCTGATTTTGACCAAAAAAAATTTTAAACCTATGTTTTTTTTAAACACACAATTCCCGCTATTGTTTGTGAAGTCACATGTCCAACAAGAGGTACATCAGGTCGCATGACCTTCCATCATCGATGAGAATCTTCGTTATTGAGTGGTTGGCTTTGACAACGGTTATGACCAATGGGAGCGTCACATAAGGAGTTCCATCTACCTTTTTGTGGTGTCTAAACCCTGTGTATTTTGATCGTTATTGACAATTTGAGTGAACTTCATGGTGGAACACCTTTCTTGCTAGAAGATTTGATACCACCTAAGTCAACAAAGAAGGTATATGAATATTCGATAGCTACTAAGTCAACGAAGAAGGTATGTGAAAGTCCGATACTACCTAAGCTAACGAATAAGGTATTTTGACTGTTGTTGACAATTTGAGTGAGCTTGTTGACATTGATATTGTTGTTGTGATGATAGATGGATGAGATGGAGTTAAGGAAGTGATTGGGAAGAGAACGTTGTGAGAGAGAAAGTTGATAGGCGAAATGATGATGACAAGAAACGATTTAGACCTAGGGTTCATTTGAGAATGTGATTGAAGAGTAATTGGAGCAATGTGATTGAAGAGCTTGAGTTTGTTTTTCTTCTTTTTCATTTTTTGGGTATGTAATGGGATGATGGAGAGAATAAAGGTTTATTTTTGTTTTCATTTTAATTTATCATTTTAATTTTACTTGGTTTTATTTTATTAATTTAATTATTATTTTATTTTATTAATTTATAATTTTGATTTTATTTTATAATTTAGATTTTAATTTAGTTATAGTTTTATTTTATTATTTAGTAGTAATTTTGTTTTAATTTATTAATTTATAATTTTAATTTTATTTTATAATTTTGATTTTGATTTACTTTTGGTTTCACTTTATTAATTTATAAATTTTATTTTATGAATTTTATTTTAGTTTTGATTTATAGTTATATTTAATTTTTTAAAATTTATATTTTTAGTTTTATTTGGCTAAAAAATATTGGTTTTTATTTAGTTTTATTTTTAAATTATTTTACTTTATTAATTTATAATTAAAAAGGGGGAGTCAACTTTAAAATGTGGGGGAAAATAATTTTTTTCACCAACAATTAACAAAACGTCGACCCTAACCGCTGTTATATTAAAAAATCAATAATTATTTATAATAATAAAAAAAAGAAGCAAACAAATTCATTAAAAAAATATTTATTTTTCCACAAGAATCACGTCGTCTGAGACCGTTGCTAAAATAAATAAATAATTAAATAAACAAATATATAAATATACGTGTGAGTCTCCGCTATATTAAAAAAACTCAATAATTACTATTACAATAAAAAACGAGGCAAATAAAATTTGTGGGAAAAAGTGGAAAAAAATTGCATCAACATTAGTGTCGATCTTATGTGTTGCTAAAATAAAAATAATTAAATCAACAAATTTATAAATACACGTTAGCTTCAGCCACAACAGAATTATAATTTAATATCTAATTAAAAAACTAGAAAAATAATTTAACCTATTAGTGTCCGCTTCGGGAGAAAAATAATCGATGTTATAAGCGTCGAAGTCAGAAACGATGCTAAATTGTTGCAGCTAAAACATGATTTTCTTGTAGTGAGTTTTGGACGCTGAAAAACGCTATGGAGTTTATGGCGGATGAATCAAAAGCCATCTTCTTCATTTGAGAGTAATTGTTTTTGTTATTCGTGACTTTAAATCACAAGGAACCTGACTATAGAGATTCGTAAGAATGCAAATCGATTTTTATAGACAGTGTTACTATTTCATTCGAGAATTCGAAATTCCTAGTAAAATGATGGAGTAGTGTTTTGATGCAGCAGATCAGATTTTTAGTGCAACAACTTGAGGGCAAACCTACATGATTAGCACCCCAATATTCAGATTAGTAAGAGAATGAAAAGTAAAATTAATTATGTTTTATGTGAGATTCCTTATATATGATGGACGGTTATGGTCATCCCTTACTTCTTAGTCTGAAATGAGAGAGAATGTCCCGATGACATCTAACTGTAGGCAACTGTCCATAACATGGATTCAATATGGAACTCTAGAGCAAAATTACACTCTACCTTCAATGTTTTGGTAGAATGATTTTTTATTGATAAATGTGCTTCCCCTCTAGAAATTTTATGTTTCAATTTCTATATATTCCATTCATTTTATGTTCCTCGTCATTTTTATTTTTAAGCATTTTAAAATCAATTTTAATTTTATATTTAAACTATTTTATTTCAAGTTAATTGATTATTTAACATTTTGACCAAATTTCACTTTTAAAATTTGAATTTAACTTATGGATATTTTAAAAGATACCTTATCAACATATGAATATACCTATTAACTTATTCGAACTCATGCAAACACACTAAATAAATATTTATTTATATTTGAATTTAGTTGATTGTTGTTTATAAGAGTAAATATCACCATAAACAAATAAATAATATAAATAATATATGACAATTTTAAAAATATATAGTAGAGAAATAAGTGTGAGTTTGAAATTTCACATTTAAAAAAAAATAAAAATTTAATATTTTTATAAGTAAAAGAATTCATATACTTAATATTTTAAGATTTTAAATGAATATATTATATTTTTTTTGTGAGTTTTAACTTTTAAATAAATCTTTAAATGAGACTTTTAGACGAGTGCAAATTCATTGCCCCAATTTTTTAAAATAATAATTAGTTATGATACATGACTTAAAAATGTGAATTTTGTGTGCCAATAGAAGATATGTAACTTTGCATTTAAATAAAATAAAACCAATCTCTAAAGTGTCCTTTTCAAGATAACTCAACCATAATTTTGAATACATTGTATTATCAAGAAAAGAAAAATTCAAAATACTGCTATCGCACAAAATAAAATACTTGTAGGTTCCCTTTTTATACCTAAGACAGAAAAAAGAAAAACCCAAAAACTAAAAAGAGAAAAAAAGGAATATCATCAAAATGAATCATAACGCTCCTCCAACCTCAAACTTGTATTCTTATTCTCATATTTTTACTCTAAAATTCCATAATATTTTAAAATTATTCAACAAATAACACAGCCACTAGGAGATTCTTCCACAGTTCTATAATAGTAATAAGGATATGTTGGCTGTCTCATTTGATTATAATATGACTCATATGCTTTCATAAGTTCAGCCAATTCTTCCTTTGGATCCTTTTTCTTTACTTCTTCCGTTACCGCTTCTTTTTTTTCTTCTTCCTTCTCTTCTTTCGCTGGTCCAACTGAAACAATTTCAGCATGACATAATTTCCTTAACTTTTCAACCACATTAACCGTATCTATGTCTCCAATTAAAATTAGTTTTTGATCCTTCATGTCAACTGAAACAGACTCAACCCCTGAAATATTTTTTTAAAATTTATATATCCATTTTCTCTTCATGATTTTTTAAATATGAAAAAGTATATAAATCTATAAAATGATTAGATATTGAAATTCATACCTGAAAAACCAGATACTGTCTTCATGGCTTTTTTCTTCATTCTATCATCATAGAGTTCTACCTTTAGCACTATTTTCTGTCAAAGATAAAAAAAATAAAAAAAATCAAAGAGTTTTAGAACTAGTTTACAATTATAATAATTTCTAACCATGAAAATTCAGAAAATAATCTTCAATCAAATATTCAAAAGGGAAATTAAAGATAAGAAAAACATTTTAAAATATTTATATAATAATGATTTGCTAATTAGGAGATATAACTTCAAAAAGGGTAGAAATTCATACCATCATATTGATTTGTTGAAGCTAGTGTAGTAGAGTTGCTAAGGAAGGTCGAGAGAAGGGTGTAAGTAAGTTCTGAATAATAATGTTCTTTGTGAACGGTTAAACTAAAAGCTTGCATAAGGTTTTATTATATACAAAAAGTTTTAAGAAATTAAATGCTAGAATAAAGACAAAGTCAACTAAATTGTCAAGATGAGTTTGTGATTAGCATTGGTCACTTGGTCAGCATACTACAGCCGTGTAAGACCTCAAGAGCCATTTTATTATTTCTTAACTTTTATGTCCTGCTTAATGCCACTCCAAATATCACAGATAACTTAAATATTAACGAGTCATATGGAATCCTTAATAGTGAAATTATTTGGCCATATCTATTATGAATAAGTTAAACTATGATGTTCTAAAATAGGTAGATACATAGTAGGGGTTCGTAGTGTAATTTGCCCTATTTTAACGCAAAAAATTATTCGAGCTGCAAGAAAAAAATAATGTGCAATTGAATTTGATTTGGTTGATTTTTAATAAAACCAAACCAATGAGATTTGAGTTAGTTCGGTTGATTCGGTTTTTTATAAGATTTTTATTTAGTGAAACATATACATATAAATAACAACATAAATTTGTATTTAGTCATTCCTAAATTGCCAAAAAAAACAAAAAAACTCATTATATTTTAAAAACAATTTCCCATGCAATATACAAAAATTAGATTTAGATAAAAGTGAATTAGAAAAAAATAAAATCGTAGCATAAAACAATATTATAAAAGATGAAACTTGAGATTAGAAAAGATGAAAAAGAAAGAATGAAAGAGATGATAATTAGAAAAGAAATGTGTGATAAAAACGTAATTGAAAGAGAGAACAATAACATAAAAATGAGAAAATGAAAATGAAAAAGAAAGAACATAAGAAATGAGAGATTGAAGAAGAAGAGGTGAAATGTACATGAAAAAGAAGATGAGAAGAAGACGTAACCCTAAATATGAGTGAGAGAAAATCCTTTGTAATCGTAAGGAAGAGACATAATAAGTTTAGGTTTTGAGTTGGATGTCTGATAAGTGAAGTTTAGGTTGTAACATAATGCAATTTGGTTTGATTTAAAAATTACAAACCGCAAACCGAACCGAAAGGTGCAGTTTTGTTAAAAAATGATCTAAACACATCCAAATCAAATGCAATTTTTTGCAGTTCTGGTTTGGTTTGGTTCAATTTGTTATTTTCTATTGGGTTGATTCAGTTTTGAACACCTCTAATATATAGAATCAGAATAGTGTCTGCATGACTTTCAAGCATTCATTAAAACTTTATAGTAGGGTTTTAGGGTTTATGTTCTTAGATCGAAATGTCTCGTTTCTTTGTGGAGCATTTGAGTCTTTTACTATTTACCCTGTCTTTTTCGTTGGGCCTCTATAAAGTGGGTGTTGGTCCAAACTGGAACATACATTAATTTTGTTCAAACATAACTTGTATCTTGAAGAAAATAGTTTATATATATATATATATATATATATATATATATATATATATATATATATATATATATATATATATATATATATATATATATATATATATATATATATATATATATATATATATATATATATATATATATATATATATATATATATATATATATATATATATATATATCCGCAAGTATACGGAATACTCAGAGTAATATAAAAGATTATCGATCCCACAAAGATCAATGTCAATCTATCAATTACTATTGTTACGGTGTTTATCTAAAGCTAATGAAAACAGAGAGTATTTCGCGCAGAGAATTTTTTTTTTAAGAAATGAATTTAAATTCAGAATAAAGACATACTGGAATGTAATTCTCATCGCTCAAACAATACTCCTATTGTCTAAGTAGTAATACTTCTGGAGCAATATTTTCTTCCTTGAAAAAGAGTTAATTAAAAAGGAATCGTCGCGTTAGCGTAATCGGAACCAGACCTGACCTTTAATCCATACCAGTCGCTCACGCTGCACCGATCGCAATTTGCGTTAAAGTGACAAATTCTTTTTTTATGTAACTACTTCTAAGACTCAGTTAACAAGTGTCTTTGATTGGAAACTTTCAATATCAAAGGATTTTCGGCATATTCTCGGCCAACCGAATTCTAAATCTATAAACGCGTCCGAAAATAGTTTTAAAATCACTTTCTAATAATATCAAACTTTCCTAATTAACTAATAAAGCGCTTTCTCTTTTTTTACCAATTAAAAACTAATAGACTCTTATCTAAAGTGTCAGACGAATTTCAATCTTACCCGACGTAGTCACGGTTATTACGCAAACAGAAACACGATCCCGTTCACATAGTGGCCGATCAATTTAAGTTCAGAAAAGTTGCATTAAAATCTAAAACAGCCCCTAAAGTCTTTCTAAAAATACAACATGTGGAGTACCGTTGAAAGGACTATCCTCACATCCCAGCACAACAGATTTAGCTGGACATGACAGTGATAAACATAAAAAATAATTTGTTTATAGAATAAACTATTTAGAAAAATAAAACGTGTGTGATTGGTTCTCGAATGATCGAAAGTGTCACCCTTAGGTTTAGTTCAGAAAACGAATCTTGGAAATAAAAAAGCAGTATACAAATCGTGCGGTAAAATAAATGCGTGATTAGTTTTCAGACGTACAAGTGTCGCGCTTGAGTTCACTCTTAGAAAATGAATCTTGAAAATAAAAGACAATAATTAAATCGTACGAAAAGATAAAGGCGTGATTGATTCCCAAAAGTATGAACGAAAGTGTCACACTTAAGTTCACTCTTAGAGAATAAATCTTCGAAATAAAAAGCCATAAGAAAATTATGCAGAAATTAAATGCGTGATCGGTTTCCAAAGGTAAGAATCGAAATGTCACTCTTAGGTTCTCTTTTAGAAACAGATCTCTAAAATAAAAGGCGATAAATAAATAAGTGCGAGTAAAATAAAACCTGCTCCAAATCAGAGACTTGAACCTGGTACAATGCTGGAAAGTAAATCCGACTTGAAAGTAAAATGACGGTACGATTAAAATTCCTACGTTATGGTGCTCCAACCTCAGTTACAACAATGGTGTGATAAACCCTCGATGTAACGATTTATCGCTTTAACTCTGAATAAATGCCTATGCTGAGAACTAAGACTGGATGTCTAAAACAAAAGATCTAGGTCCTATTTATAGTGTAACAATGCCTTGGATGTTACATAACTTCTTCCGAAATCGTGGGGAGGAAAAATCTCCGGTCATGGCGTCATGCTCTAACCGTCCTTGACCGGACCACCAAATACACAAATGGCGTCCTCCATGTGTACAAAAGGTGGTGGACGTGGTCAAGTATGATTAGAACGTTGGAGAAACCCTACACGTCATGGCTACCCCCATGGCCAACGCCATGTGGAACGCTGTGTGTGTAATTTTCACCTGAAACTCCGTTTTCTGCTCTTTTTCGCTCCATTTCTTCGTGGAAGGCTCTTATTAGGCAATGTACCCGAAAAGAAGACAAAACACAAGCGTAATGCAAGAAAATAACAAATAAACGACAATAAACATGTGCAATCCGAGCCAAATATGCAGTGTATTTTAGTGTTATCAAATTCTTCCACACTTAAACCTTTGCTTGCCCTCAAGCGAACTCTTATGAGCACAAAAGAAAAACAATAACACACAAGTATTCAATTCAGGATAAAGACTTTTAGTTTGATCAAGGTTGCGTCGATAGGTACTAACTAGTGAACCAAAGATATCGTAGTGAAACTTTCCGTGGATTGCGGTCATAAGTTTCCTTCCTATACAAACCAATCTGCATCATGTTATTATACCTATGCCTAACTCACTCATCCCTCTTGTATCCCTTTTCATTCAGGCGCAATCACATTAAGCCCGTTATCTTGTACTCACATGGTGAACGAACCTGTTGGTGACCCTGGTCCAATATTGTGTCTAATTCACTGATTTTTTCTTTAACACAAACACATAAGCAATTTTTTTTTGAAGCTTCGCTACCGTTGGGCTAAGTAAACGGGTGAGGGTTACCCAACTTAGAAGGCGGATTCTTTTTCCAGAAATGCTTTCTTTTTGTACTTTTTTCTTTCTCTTACTGGATTATTCACCTATTTGCATCGGTTCGCCCACTTAGCGGTACCTAAGATGATGCTGACTGCTAAAATAAACTACTTAAGGATTAGTTCAAGGGTGAGATTTTAAGGCCACCGCATAATAAGTATCCGGATTGATTCATATAATTAAGAAACTTATGGTGTCAAGACGATATCGATTTTTCAAAAGTTTTCCCAAGTCACTGCAAATTATCCTAAACTTGTCTAACATCCCAAATTTTCAAAATAAAAGTTGTTTTCTTATTCAAAAATTTTAGTATGGCTCAAGAAATGGGTGAAAATAGACAAACTACACATACGACTCGTTAAGCACATATATTTATTAAAAACAAACTAAAAAACAAGCTAAAAACTAGAATGAAATAAAAAATGAAAAACATAAAGGGAAATAAAAACAGAAAAAAAGAGTAAATATCTCCTCCCACACCAAAACCAAACATTGTCCCCAATGTTTCGATAGAAGGTGAAGAAGAGATAGGTGGAATCTGGATATGACTACTGCTGGCCACTAGTACCCTCTCCTCCCTGCTCTGGACGTCGAGGATGATAACTTCTAGTTCGGTGTTGTAAACTCTCTGAAAGCTTAAGCCGCTCAATCCTCGCTGCTAGTGCTTCGTTAGCCTGTCGAAGCTCACAAAGGTTTCCTAGTATGGAACCTTGATTGGCTTCTACTAGCCTATAATGGTTGTCGAAGCTAGCTTGCTGGCGTTGCTGGAGGGATGTGGCGGCAAGCTGGGACTCCATCATAGTACGTATGAGTCTCTTATGCTGCCGTTGGGACTCACCCATGAAGTTCATCATGTCCTGTTGCTGCTCATACATGGCATAGAATAGGCCATCACATTTCTCTTTGCGAGCTTGGTACTGCCTCCACATCTCTGT